CTGTAAAATGGAACCAAGAGACACATCCCGTTGGCTCTTGTTGTGGTTAAATGAGTTAATCCATGGAAAGTTCTCAGCTCCTTGCTTGGCATATAGTCAGAGCTCAGTTGTTAGCTACTCTATTAAAATAATAATAATAATAATTTCTTGGAATCAGTAATGCATGTGTACGATGCAAAATTCAAAGATGTCCCAGAACATGAAGTGACTCTCTTCCAGCCAGGCCCCAGCCTCCTGGCCTCTATTTTGTTGCCTTTTTGTTTTCTTCAATGGCAAATCACACACACTCTCCTGCACTTGCACACCCAGAAGGAAAGGTGCATGTCAAGAGATAAAAGGCTCTTTCTTTTTTTTGTATGTGGCCACCCAGTGTCATGGATGGGCTGTAATTTATTTAATGAATCCCCCCTTGCTGGGCTTTAAAAAGTTCTTTAGATCTGAGCTTTTCTTCTTATTGGGAAACTAACAAGATTGTAACAATTCTGTGGGAAAATTTTAATGGAACTTTCACTCTGTGCTTCAGTATCTGAACCTCCATGAGCACGTCCTCCTGGACTTATTTGTATTTGTGACCTTTTTCTTTTCTTTCTTTTTTTTTGGCGTCTGGCCAGTATAGGCCTCCAAACCTTTGACCTTGGTGTTACAACACCACATTCTAACCAACTGAGCTAACCGGCCAGCCTATTTGTGACTTTTTTCTGAGATTTAACTTAGATGTGGTAAATCGCACAAATCTTAAGTGTACGCCTTGATTTTTTTTTTTTTTTTTTTTTTTTTTTTTGGTGGCTGGCCAGACCTTGATTTTTTAACAAATGCATGTACCCTGGTCACCACTGGACAGACAAGATAGAGGACATCTTCATTATCTCAGGAAGTTCCTTCATGCCCCTTCTAGTCATTCCCCCTAAGGGAACCACCATTCCGATTTCTATCTCCGGAGACTAGTTTTGCCGGTTCAAGTTCAAGTCCACCCAATGACTCAGCAAGAGAAACAAGGGCATATGTCTCCAAAAGGCATGTATAAGAATGTTCAGAGCAGCTTTATTCGTCATGGCCCCAAGCTGGGAAGACCCACAGATCCATCAGATGGTGAATGGACGAACCAGCTGTGGTCCCTCCCTGCAATGGAACACGCTCTATCCAACACTGAAAAGGAACACACTTTGGATACATTCAGCAGCATGGAAGTGCCTCACAGACGGGTGCTCATGATTCCATTTACATGCTGCCCCTATGTTGTTTGGTCATTGACACGTTCCACTTGCACCGTTTCAAAAACAGTCATTGAAGGCTGGCTGGTTGGCTGAGTTGGTTAGAGCGTGGTGCCAATAACCCCCAGGTGCGGGCTTCAATCTCCGTATGGGCCAGCTGCCCAAAAAACACAACAGTTATCAAAGGGGTAGGGGTGGGGATTCTTGTGAGGGGCACACGCTGTCACTGCCGCTGGTGGTGATTCTGTGGCAGGGGGGTGCCTGCAGTTTCTGAGATGCTACCTCTCATGTGCAGGATGTCAGCCTGTGACCTAGGTGACCTGGGGCTCTGGGAAGTCCAAGGCCAGGGCTACGTGTGGTGCTCACGAGGCTAAGAACCCTTAGCCAGCCCCCAGGAGAGCCCGGTGTCCACTGTGTCCACTATGAAGGGGAGACACAGGGATGCCTCCTCTGGATTCTGGTGACCCGTGTGTGGCCTCCTTGCTTTTCTCCTACTCTGCCTCCCGATTCCATGCAGCTTGCTCCTTGTTCCCCTCTTCTTAGAGGACCCTCCCTGATCCCCCCAGTCCCCAAGCCCTCTTACCCCCTAGTGGGTCTTCCTCACACCCACCCTGCTAGAATGTCAGTGCCACTGTCCCCAGCACCTCCAAAGTGCTTGGTAGGCAGTGAGTAATACTCGAGTGAACTTGAGCATGTGACCTTGGCCAAATCATGTGCCTTGTCATCCAAATGGAGGACTGATGGGAGTAGAGCACAGTTCAGTGTCATTGTGAAGTGGGCACATGATGTGAAGTGCTCAGTGAGGCAGGCAGGGCCCTCGGGCTCATTGTTGTCCTCAGAAATGTGACATGATGACATGTAGCATCCAGGGTGTGTAGGGTTGACTGTGCCACCCGGGGTTGTGAGAGACGGAATGCAGAGGCAAGGGCTTTGCCCTCCAGGGGCTGGCATGTGTCATCAGGGCAGGCCCCTTTGTCACAGCCCCTCCTGCCTTCCATGATTTTTCTCTGTCCAGCCTGCCCCCAGGTCATGGCTGTGCATCTCCTACACTGCCTTTGTTCTGTTCAGGGTCTGTCCACTGCCCTTGGTGTCCTGCCGTCTTCCCCCCCTCCC